AATCAGCAGAAATAATCATTCCAGAATTTTTGGATATTATCCATCTTTTATAAACCTTTCAGTGTTGTAACACATTTCTGGCTAGCAGTAGGCTTGACCAGTTATGCAAGCAGAAAGCAAATATGCACTTTTGATGTTAACACCTGGAGTTGTGGGTGATGATGACATAAATCTGTCCACTGGGATCTGGGACCCTAGCTTAGAAAGTAAAAGATTTTATTGCCTTGCTGCAAACAAGAAATAGAATAAGTGCCATCATGTTTTCAACATGGAAAAAACGGGGCTTGTACTGATACAGGCCTGATAATTTAATGTCGAACAGTATTTTTACCTTTTCCAATTCATATCCAAGTTACCACACATTCCACCACCAGGCAGCAGGCTAACATAGATAGTGATCATGAATTCTTCATGTAGTTGGTACCTTGTTGCTGCTGAATTAGCAGTGGTTTTGCACATAGAAAATGGGCATCAAGCAGCTTCAATATGAAACAATGTCAGAAGACCAGAGTTGACTGAATTGGCTGAGTGAATGCACAATTTTTAAATAGATTTGAAAATATGTAATTTTAATTTTGCTCAAAAAAATTGAGCATCACTGACAAGACCATTTATACCCTTCAAAATCTACTGGTGGAAATCAGTTATGCAGCACTAACCTATTCTTCAGTTTTGTGTCAACAGAAATAGCAAACATTGATCTTTCTGACGTGGCAGTTTTTATTTCCAAATATTTAAAGAGCGAGTGATTTAAAAGCCCTAACATCTTACCAGATCCTTTGTCAGTTTCAATTACTTTATTTACTACTTACACACATTTATGTTCACTTGTAATAATGCCAAAGAATAGATCATACCCCAACTATGCTCCTCTCCAAAGAACTCCAGTAAGTTTAGACACTCTCCTGATAGATTTAAAGTGCAGAAGTCATGTTTTGGATTTCCCGTTAATGAAAATTAATGTACAGTTGCCATAATGAATCACTTGGTTTACCTGATCCTATTTGCCTGAACCCACTTCCTACCCTTAAGATGAAAACAGCAAGGACTAAGTACAGGAGCAATACTTCTGGATTTGGGCTTCTGGCAACATTTATGGCAAATCCATAATTTATGGGAGATAGTAGGAACTGCAGATGCTGGAGAATCTGAGACAGCAAGGCATAGAGCTGGATGAACACAGCAGACGAAGCAGCATCATAGGAGCAGGAAGGCTGACGTTTCGGGCCTAGACCCTTCTTCAGAAGAAGAATCTAGGCCTGAAACGTCAGCCTTCCTGCTCCTATGATGCTGCTTGGCCTGCTGTGT